CGAGGTCCTGATTCCTGCTCAAAGCATGGCAGAGACCCAGAGCATCCCTGCCCAACCAAGAGATCCCCGTTTGAAAGCACCCCCGGGTGTGCTGAGCTCCCCAGAGCCATGGAGGTGTTGGGAATCCTGAGGAAAAGCAGCCCTGGAATGGAATATATCCCAATATCCCACTGCTGGATCCCAATATCCCACTGCCAAGTGGCTGCTCCTGGATCTGGGATATGGAAATTTGGGGAAAAGCAGCCCTGGAATTGAATATATCCCACTGCCAAGAGGCTGCTCACGAATCTGGAATGGAATATATCCCAATATCCCACTGCTGGATCCCAATATCCCACTGCTGGATTTGGGACGTGGAAATTTGGGGAAAAGCAGCCCTGGCATTGAATATATCTCAATATCCCACTGCTGGATCCCAATATCCCACTGCTGGATCTGGGACATGGAAATTTGGGGAAAAGTAGCCCTGGNAATAGTATTATATTATAATTAATATAATTATAATAATTAATTATTATAATTATTATAATTAATAGTAATATTAATATAATAAATTATAATATTAATGTAATAATTATAATAAGTCAAAATTATGATATAAATTAATATACCATTAAATAATAAAATTAATAATAATGATAATAATGATAATGATAATGATAATGATGATGATGATAATAATAATAGTAATAATAGTAATAATAGTAATAGTAATAGTAATAGTAATAGTAATAATAATAATAATAATAATAATAATAATGTTTCTCCATTAGCAGCCTCAGAAGGGAAGGCAGGGCTGGTCCAGGGCTGATCCAGGTCCTGCATCACTCACACAGGCTGGAAATGCTGCAGGCTGCTCAGCAAACACTCAGGGCATGGTTTGGGTTGTGAGGAACAAAATCTCACCTTGTCCCACCCCCTGCCATGGCAGGGACACGTTCCATCATCCCAGGCTGTTCCAAGCCTTGTCCAGCCTGGCCTTGGACACTTCCAGGGATGGGGCAGCCCCAGCTTCTCTGGGCAGCTGGGCCAGGTCCTCACACCCTCACAGCCCTGAATTCCTTCCCAAATCCCATCCATGCCTGCCCTCCCCCTTGTCCTGTCCTGTGCAAACCCAGGGCACCACTGGGAACGTTCCTCTGTCTGCTCTGGGGTGCCCTGACCCCCAGGGAGCTCTGGCTGGGACCCTCATCCATGGAGAAAGTTTCCTGAAATATTCCTGTGGTATATTTCCAGAATATACCACAATCCACAGAAGTGTGAAATAGATTATAGAGAGCAGTGTAGGTGCATCACTTGGTGAGAAATTGAGGTTTTGGGATTTTTAGTGTGCACAGGGTGTCATCCTGGGTTTCTTCTTCATGGGTTTGGGTGGCATTTTGTAATTGGGCAGAAAAGTCCCCATTGGGATCAGTTATTGGGTTAAAAGGGAAAATAATCCAGGTTCCAGTTCTTAACTGGATAGTTTAGTCTTAAAAGACTTTGTAACAAAAGATTATTACCCATTTTGTGCCCTCTNCCCCAGACCCAACCAATTCCTTTTTTTTCCCATTTAACCCCAGAAGAGCTGAGCTGAAACATCCCATAAACAGGGGAGAAACTTTAGGGAGAGCCAAATCCCCACGTTCCCACCCCAAACCGTGGCCCAGGGGTGGCACAAAGAGCTCAGAGGGCTCAGGGCTGGGATTTTGCCCTCAGACCCAACCAATTCCTCCTTTTTCCCATTTAACCCTAGATGGGGTTTATGGGATGTTTTGGGTTTATGGGATGTTTTCTGAGCTGAAACATCCCATAAACAGGGGAGAAGCTTTAGGGAGAGCCAAATCCCCCCGTTCCCACCCCAAACAGTGGCCCAGGGGTGGCACAAAGAGCTCAGAGGGCTCAGGGCTGGCATTTTGCACCCAGATCCAACCAATTCCTCCTTTTCCCATTTAACCCCAGAAGAGCTGAGCTGGAACATCCCATAAACTGGGGAGAAACTTTAGGGAGAGCCAAATCCCCACGTTCCCACCCCAAACTTTAGGGAGAGCCAAATCCCCACGTTCCCACCCCAAACCATGGCCCAGGGGCGGCACAAAGAGCTCAGAGGGCTCAGGGCTGGGATTTTGCACCCAGACCCAACCAAATCCTCCTTTTCCCATTTAACCCCAGATGGGGTTTATGGGATGTTTTCTGAGCTGAAACACCCCATAAACAGGGGAGAAACTTTAGGGAGAGCCAAATCCCCACGTTCCCACCCCAAACAGTGGCCCAGGGGCGGCACAAAGAGCTCAGAGGGCTCAGGGCTGGCATTTTGCACCCAGACCCAGCCAATTCCTCCTTTTCCCATTTAACCCCAGAAGAGCTGAGCTGAAACATCCCATAAACAGGGCAGAATCTTTAGGGAGAGCCAAACCCCCACGTTCCCACCCCAAACCGTGGCCCAGGGGCGGCACAAAGAACTCAGAGGGCTCAGGGCTGGGATTTTGCCCTCAGACCCAGCCAATTCCTCCTTTTCTCATTCAACCCCAGATGGGGTTTATGGGATGTTTTGGGTTTATGGGTTTATGGGATGCTTTCTGAGCTGAAACATCCCATAAATAGGGGAGAAACTTTAGGGAGAGCCAAACACCCATGTTCTCACCCCAAACCGTGGCCAGGGGCGGCACAAAGAGCTCAGAGGGCTCAGGGCTGGGATTTTGCCCTCAGACCCAGCCAAATCCTCCTTTTCTCATTCAACCCCAGATGGGGTTTATGGGATGTTTTGGGTTTATGGGATGTTTTGGGTTTATGGGTTTATGGGATGTTTTCTGAGCTGAAACACCCCATAAACAGGGCAGAATCTTTAGGGAGAGCCAAACCCCCACATTCCCACCCCAAACCGTGGCCCAGGGGCGGCACAAAGAGCTCCGAGGGCTCAGGGCTGCAGCCCCAGCCCCAGCCCAGCCCCAGGGCAGGGTGGGGGTCTCAGCTTGCCCAGAAAATTCTCCTCCATTCTAGCAAATAACCTTTATGTGCAGGGACTGGCAAAGTTTTGCTTTCTCCCTCCAGGGTTAGGCGCAGCAGGAGCGACAGAGAAAGCCAGAGCTTGTAGGAGGTTCCTGGGCACAATAACCTCAGAGGAGTTTAGGTCTAAAGACTAAAAGGCTCTATTTACTTTCACTGACAAGGAACAATCTAAGCAGATGTCCTTTGATGGGATTAGTTATTAATCCTTGAATCATGGGTAAATGGGAAAATGATCCATTATTTTCTGCAAAATCCTTCACTGCTTTAGGTTTCAAGGATGGGGTGGGGGGTTGTTAGCTGAAAGGTCTCGACCTGGCTGTTTTGGACATTTTGGAAATGTATTTTTGCAGTTTGTGCTGTGGAGCGTGACTCTGAAACAAAATTAAAAATAAAATTAAGAAAAAGAGGTTTGATTCCAAGGGGTTTGATTCCACTAAGAGCTGAGAGCAGTGCACTGTGTCAGACACACTGGAGTGACGGGCTGGACATTTCTTGGGTAAACACTGGGAGGTATATAATAATAATTAAAGATTAATATATAATATAATATAATATAATATAATATAATATAATATAATATAATATAATATAATATNAAAAAAAAAAAAAAAAAAAGAGAGAGAAAAGTGAGTGAGAGGGGAAGGTGGAATAAAAGGATGAACACGGGAAACCAGAGCAAACCTTCAGCTGAAGCCCACTGTTAGACACAGCCCAGGAGAAGTGGATGGGGATGAATTTTCACTATTTTGGGTGGTGAAAATCCCCCAAACATCCCCAAATTGTGCCCCCAGCTGGAGGGAGGGGAGGCAGGATGTGGCAGAGCTGAGGAGGGGCTGGGAAATGCTCCTTCCCCAGCTGCTGGATGCTCTCCCCTCTCCCCAGGAGGGCAGAGGGGACCCCCAGAGCACCAAGTGCCCCTCAGCCCAGCCAAGCCTTGTCCCCAGAACTGGTGACAAACACCCCAAGATCCCAATTCACACCCAAAGTGATGGGGGGAAGAACCCCCCCCAGCCAAGCAACACAAGGGGAGGAAAAAGTGTAGGAAGTGAAATTTTCAAGGAAAAGGTGGGGATGTTTTTTTGTGAATTTGCTTTTTCCTTGGTTTGCTGACATTATTCTGGAGAGGAAGAGGGAAGTGAAAAGGGGGAAGGAAAAGGAAATATTTTCTTTCTCTTTGCCCCACTTTCCCCAGGCCCATCACCACCAGCTCTGGATTTAACACTTCCACTGCCCCCAGACCCCAACGTGGCAGTGGCCTCAGACACAACAAACCCTTCTTCAGGGGACCCCCAGAGTGTCCCTGCCACAACCACAGCCCCCATGGGGGCTCAGGTGCCCCTGACACCCCCACAGGCACCGCCAGCCTGCCCCAGCACCGAGCTCTTCATTCAAACACCCTGCACAGCCAGGCTCTGTCCCTGTCCCTGCACAGCCAGGCTCTGTCCCTGTCCCTGCACAGCCAGGCTCTCTGCTACCACCAAACAACCCCCTAAGCAGGGGTCACCCTGTGCACGTGCTGACCACCTGATTCCAGCTGACCACCCAACCCCAGCTGATTCCAGCTGACCACCCAACGCCAGCTGACCACCCAACCCCAGCTGACCACCTGATTCCAGCTGACCACCCAACTCCAGCTGATTCCAGCTGACCATGCAACCCAAGGTGACCACTCCATCCCAGCTGACCATCCAATTCAAGCTGACCATCCACAACTCCAGCTGATTCCAGCTGACCACCTGATTCCAGCTGATCATCCAACCCCAGCTGACCATCCAACCTGAACTGACCATTTGAGCCCAGCTGACCATTCAACTCNTAAAATTGGGTGAAGTGTCCCCCCAGCACCTACCCCAGCTCAGCTGCCTGCTCCTCCTTGCAGCAGGTGCCTTTTTCTTTTTTCTCCTGCCTCAAAGGGCTTCGCTCTGGGCAGCCCTTTTGGAGAGCAGCTCTTGTAAGGGATGCCTGGCACGAACACGGCCTGATTACAGCCCAGCTCGTTAAAAAAATGTTCCCTAGGTACTGAAGGGGATAACAAGGATATTTAAACATTCCCAGCGTGCACCTTTAAGCAGCAGAAAATAAGGGAAATTGCCATCGTTTAATTCACTATTGCTCCTTTTGAACTCCCACTGGCTCTGCCTGCAATTGTTCCCCTTCTCAGAGCTGGGAGCTGCATCACAGCAGCACCAGGGCTGCAGGTCCAGAGGGCTGGGCACAGCAGGACCAGCTTCCCACATGGCAAAAGGGCTGATGGAGCTGCTTTCCATTGGGTTTTCAAAGATTTCCCTCAATAAGCCCAGAGCAGGCTCTGGGTTTGAGGCCCAGAGCCCCCAGTTTGTAATTACTCCTCTCTCATATTTTGCGTGTGCCAGGGAGAGGGAGAGGGGTGGAGCAGCGTTTCTTTTTTGTCTGTATCTCTGAGGAAGCTTTTTCCAAAGCGAGAGCAAAAAAAAAAAAAATTAAATAAAAAAATTAAATAAAAAAATCCACAGCTGGTGTTGGTGGATGAGACACTCAGCCGTGTTCTGGTAGGGGGGAAAAAAAGACAAAGTCTAATTTTAGATGTTCTGAAATGCTTACAACACGCATCCCTCCAACTGCCTGGCACGGGCACCAGTGGTTATTTCCACACTGGAAATAAGGAGAGAGCAGGGAGCTGGGATTGGGCACCAGCTTCTCCCCAGGTGACCCCAGGGGATGTCCCCTGAGGGCCCTTCCTGCCCTGGCCACTGCCAGGCATCAAAATGTACAGGGCTCCTCTCATTTGGGGTGATTTTCTCNCAGACACACAGCCCAGCCCTGCCTCCATGCAGGGAAAGCAGGAATAAACTCCCAATGAATAATTTACTCAGCTTTCTTTTGATTTGTTCTGATTGTGCACAGCAGTGCAGGCTCGGAGGGGGAAGCATGTTCTGATTAAAGATTTATACAGGGCCTATAATTTTGTTGTTGTTGCTTAAATCTACTTCAAAGTGTGAGCAGGGTGGGTGTAAAATAAACACTGTGCAGCAGCTGGGAGCTTTTGGAGGGGTGTGAGTGCACACACCAGGGCAAAGCTGGTGATGCCACAGATGGAAACTTTGTGCTCTGCAAAGGGACTCTCCCAGGCCTGCTTCTCACACCAAAGAATATAAAAAATAGATTGAAATCACCTCTATTCCCTCCAACTGCTGACTGCGGGTTCCTTCTGAGATGAGAGCACACCTCAAAAATTAACAAATAATAATTGGGCTTTATACTTTTACTACTCTTTCACTATTTCATTATTCTTTCACCATTCTTTTTCTATTCTTCTACTGTTCTTTGAGCACACAGAGAATAGTTTGTGGCTGCAGGGAGTGATTAGACCTGGAGCTGGAAGAGGATCTAAACAAAGATCATCCCATAGACAAATTTCAGCTTCCTCAGTTACTGAAACTTGGAAATGCAGGTGAGAAAAACTCCAGCGCAAAGGATTTTCTCTTTTTTTCCTCCCTTTTTGCCCTGGATGCCACATCCCTGGAGAGCAGAGGGCATCCCTGGCACAAAGGGAGAGTGAGACAAAGAGAATCATCCCCATTGCCAAAAGTGCCTTTGATAAACCAGAATCATCCCCAAAAGTGCCTTTGATGAACCAGAATTTCCAAAAGTGCCTTTGATAAACAAGAATCATCCCCAAAACTGTCTTTGATAAACCAGAATCATCTCTAAAAGTGCCTTTGATAAACCAAAATCATCCCCAAAAGTGTCTTTGATAAACCAGAATCATCCCCAAAAGTGCCTTTGATAAACCAGAATCATTCCCAAAAGTGCCTTTGATAAACCAGAATCATTCCCCATCCCCAAAATTGCCTTTGATGAACCAGAATCGTCTCCAAAAGTGCCTTTGGTAAACCAGAATCAGTCCCCAAAGTGCCTTTGGTAAACCAGAATCATTCCCATTGCCAAAAATGTCATTGATAAACCAGAATCATTCCCAATTCCCCAAAAGTGCCTTTGATAAACCAGAATCATCCCACATCCACAAAAGTGCCTTTGATAAACAAGAATCAGTCCCCAAAGTGCCTTTGGTAAACCAGAATCATTCCCCATCCCCAAAATTGCCTTTGATGAACCAGAATCGTCTCCAAAACTGTCTTTGATAAACCAGAATCATTCCCAATTCCCCAAAAGTGCTTTTGATAAACCAGAATCAGTCCCCAAAGTGCCTTTGGTAAACCAGAATCATTCCCAAAAGTGCCTTTGATAAACCAGAATAATCCCCATTGCCAAAAGTGTCTTTGATAAACCAGAATCATCCCCAAAAGTGCCTTTGATAAACCAGAATCATCCCCAAAAGTGCCTTTGATAAACCAGAATTGTCCCCAAAAGTGCCTTTGATAAACCAAAATCATTCCCAAAAGTGCCTTTGATAAACCAGAATAATTCCCATCCCCAAAAATGCCTCTGATGCACCCTCAGGGCTGCCATTCCCAGCTCCAGCCAGGGAAGAGCCAGAGCTTTTCCCAAGGGGCTCCCACAGCTCCCAGCCTGCTCCTTGGAAAAAGCAGATTGCATCAAAAATGGCATTTTCAGCAAAAAATGGGA